ACTTTCATCTGGTTTGGTCTGCCGCGGTTTCTGTAGCGTCGTGAAAAATATAGCACTTATACTGTTCAATTTGTTGAGAAAACGTTAAGATAAATCCTTTTTTTCTACTCCTGGTATGTGTAGAGCCCTAGAAATAGAATAGTGTAGAACGTGATAAAGTTAAAATTGATAGGCATAATTATCATATTGGGCAAGCGCTTATTAGATTTATTATTGAGTTAGTAAAATTCATTTGGTTTATGACAAAATATGTGCTAAAACTACTTTCTTTTTATTTTTTATGTATATTTCATACATTTGTGTAACGATAATACCCCTTTAAGAGGACATGATGCATGATGGGAAGAAAGTTCATGCTCTGTGTGTACCTTAAGAAGAAAGAAAAAACTATATATGCTGTATGCTTGAACCGTGGATTTAGTTTAATAAAGTTGCACAAAAGGGAAAATCTATGTGTTTATTTTAGTTCTTTTTAAGGGTGCAACATATGTTTCTTTAGGTACCAGGATGGCTGAGATGTAGGAAGATCCAAAGTTTAAAGCATTTCTGTAGATGGCTAGCTAAGCCATATTTGTACAGCAGGGTGGCTGATGGCCTACGATGAATGATTTAAGAATTTCTCCCTTGTTTTTCCATTTTCTGGTGCCCTGGAATAAACTAATTATGATCTAGCAGCATCTGAGAGGTGGATTAGTTAAGGTGGTATAAGTTCAGCTGCTGGGAAGATGTCTTTATTTGTATTTTTAATAACAAATTGGTGCATGATGTACAAACAACAATACAGAGTATATATGCATCATAACTTAATGGTTTCTTTTCTAACTAATAGCACAGGTTAAGCTTTGTCTGTAAAGTTTTCTCTGTATGTTTTGATGCAAGGTGTTAACGGAAATATAAATCTAGACAAATTTAGATTTCCATTAAAATTTACAGAAATATAGAAATATAAGGGACATTTTTCTGAGGAAAGATGGTTAAGAAAGAGAAGAAACATCCATTCCAAATCTTGGTGAGAAAAAAGTGACCCATGTTTGTCTATAAATTATGTTTAATAAAGGGAAATGACACATGGAACATGTCCTGAAAACATGAGGAGAAGCTGCAAAATAAAGCAGAAAGCCAAGTAGGCAGGTTAAATCGTTTCAAACGTTTAGGGAAAAAATTAAAAAATGTACCTCCTGCCAGTACACAGAAATATCCACCCATTTAGTCCTGGGTAATATAAAGGTTTCTTCCTACTAAAAATACAAATCTTAAGGTGTATCACAGCCAAAAGCTCTCCTAAAACCTTCAGGAACTTATTGTGAATATATCAACATTGGTTACAGGTCTTACTCTACATCATGGAAAGTGCCAGATAGCACCCTTGGAGCCAAAATCTAAGTAAGAAAAATAATTTCACCATAAAGTAGCCCTCACCAGGTGCTCCTCAGAAGAGTCCAGAAATATTAAAGAGATAAGTTGTCCAGTAGCTAAAGACCATTCACAAAGACCTGGAGTTAGCAAGTAGAGTTTGGCCTTGAAAACAACTGGTAATACATTTGAACCTGTGGCCACTACGATCGCTCAGTGCATAAAATCCATTGCTGTAGAAAAATCATGTTACGGTTCATTTAAGGCTCTTTGTTTTACCCTCAGAATCGCTTATTTGGCAAACTGAATATATTTCCCTCTCAGTTCAGCAGCTGATTAACACATCGTCCCTTTAAAGGCATTAAGAGGCTCCGGTAATTCAACCGAACTCTGTTACTCTTCTTTGCGAGTCGCTGTTCTCTGTCCGTTCAGCTTTTCTTTACCCAACTTTCCCTCTGCTTGAAGTTTCCGAATCAGATCTATGGGGCCCTTCCCCATCAGAGCCGATGGATGCCTGTAGGAACCTCCCAGCCGGTCCCATAGGGTGAAGTACTGGCCATAGTTGTAGTCGAAGAAGAGGTGATGGTCAGTGTGGTGGGCCGCGCCGTTGATGACGCTAATCAGGCCGCTGGGAACGCGATAGTCACCATCGTGGATGGAGATGGTCCAGATGTTGACGAACACATAGAGGGCCAAGTAGAGGACCTTGTGAAGGGGGAAGAGGAACGGGTAGATGTGATATGGGAGGCCCTGCAGGAAGCCGTCGACGGGATGGAAGGCGTGGCTGGCGAAGGGGGAAGGGATCTTCCAAACGTGGTGTGGCTTGTGAAACATCTGGTGTGAAAAAGAAAAGCAATAAGATTATTTTACCCTCTAACCATTATTATGCTAAAGATAGAAAAAAAGCCTCTCAGTGATTACCCGATGAACTTATAAATCATATTTATAACTCATTTTTTAACTCAATCTTTCCTTTTAGATGTAGGTCAGTTAGAAAAAATCTAAATAAAAAACTCTGAGAGAGACTGGACCCCTCTGCAAAATATTCGTTAAGTTGTATTCTTTTTATTCAAATGGTATTTTATGCATTTATTACTAATGTATTGCATTTATTTTAGCCCTACTTCATTTTTCCTTAGTGGTTACTTCACTTGTCAGGCTGCCGTTGTAAATAAGAACTTGCCTGCAAAAATAAAGGTATAATGAAAATTTATTTTGGACTTAAAATAAAATTATAACCATCTTAAATTAAACACGCTGCTTTATAACAGGCAAAAACAAAAAAACAAACAGCCCAGACTATAAAAGGCATTTCAATCCATCGATATCAGTATGAAATTATAGATATAAAACTGTTAGAAAACAATATTTAGTGCAGACTTTGGTTTTCTTAGTGATAAATAAAACATTATATTAAAAAAAAGCAACAACAAAAAAACCCCCAA